AATAGCAGTTATGTAGGTAGGCAGCGAGGTACCATGCCATTGCCACCACCAACCTCCCCTTTCCGACGTGAAGACATCAGGATGCAATGGAGGTGGGGGAAAGGCTGCCATCTAAGTGGTATGGAGGTGACAGTGAGCGTGGAATACTGCGATGCCACTACCGCCAACCACGAGTGACACGGCCTGCACTTCTGCCAACCACCACCAAAATTCAAGGATTATTGGTGGGAAATACTTTAATATTATAGGCTGAACATGTGACCCTAAAGAAGGGTCTAAATTACAGTTAGATGGAAGATTCATGGAATCAGATCACAACTGACTGAGGAAGCTCCAAGAGGAGTGAAATGCGTTTTGGCTACATGTGATAATTGGCAACCAGAGTGGAACAAAAGTAATATGAACACATACAAGATAAAGCATAGGCTGCGTGTAGGTAAGTGATAATGGTGACAATGTTCCCAGTAAAGAGAAATGTGGTTACAGAACACAAGATAAAGAGTCTCACAGATCCTTCTCCCAATAACCTATGCCCATCGGTGTCAACTCACAATCCAGTATGATGGTGGTCTGCCATTTGAGCCAGAGCGTGTGCAGTCTGAAGATGCCAGATTGCAATGAGTAGGTGAGGGAGTTAACAGTCAGCTGCCTCAGGGTCTGTAGCAAGCATCGTAACGGCACCCGAGAGGGTCAGTGCCCCTGTGCACTCCGACCAATACAGTGGGAGCGCTTCCTATTTCGCCACCACTGACAATTTTGCGGCATCCACAGCTCCTGTTGCTTGGGGGTATGGAGAGGCTTTCCCCCGAGTAGTCGAAGGCAAGTTAGGTGCCAGCTGAACTTCCGCAGGAGCTCTCATGCAACAGGTGAGTTTAGACCAGAACTAAGTGAACAGTTCATCTTACCAATCCAGAATAGAGGGTTGCAGCTCTCGAAGTGAAAGGTTACACAAGGCATCTGCCATTTTGTATGAGAAGATGGCTGGAACTGGTGGCTGCAGGTGGCTTGTCACCGCAACACAGGGATTACCAGGATATCCCTCACCGGTGGGGGGGAGGGAGAGAGTGAGGGAGATCTTGTGAGTGTTGGCTTACAGCAGGTAGAGTAATCGGCCACCTTTCCCCACCAACTTTGAGTCGGCCTCTTGTAGGCCACAGGGCTTCCCCCAGCCGGAGCCACCAGATTTGATCGGTATATCAGTGATGTCAACCCCTGGGGATTCCTCTTGGTTGCCAACTGACTTTAACTGCTGAGGAACTGCAATAGTGGACCACAAATTATCAGATAAAAATACTATTTTGAGTTTCCCAGCAGAGCTCTCATGAAGTGCAACCGATCGGCGCAGTGGTCAGGCTCCGCACCCTCTATTTGATATGTTTTAATATTTTCTTGCACAATACATTTATTAGCACTTTAAAAGTCCTCTGAAGCTTCAAAAATCTTCATCTATGTTACCCTAAGAGGCAGGATTCTAAGACTCTGAAAAAGGTGAGCTTAATATTTTATTTTTTTATGGTATTTCATTGATTATACCACACATTGGATGTCTCTCAATTTTATCTTGCCAGAGTGAATATCAGCGTGGAAGAGTGGTGGGATGCTGCCCTAAGAGCATACAATCCTTATTTACAGAGACAATTTAATAGGCTCTTTTAAATGTGAGTGACCCATATTTCTCATAATCGGAATTGTCACAATTTTATTACCATCTACACTACATTTTATTTGTTGTATCTTTTTATATATACTTGATACACACGCCCTTATCAAAATCATGAGGGGTAAGCTACCCCCTTTATTTTACAGCGCAAACATAAGGTATAGGTTTCACTTGTAGCACTTGTTGCTTTGTTGTGTATTTTTTGTGTGGAGAGAAGGATATTATACACTACTGTATAGAGTTGCTGGTTTCTTTGATACTGTTTCACTAAAGCACTTTTGTAGTAACACACTTTCTCCTAATAGATTTTATTTGATTAGGCAGCGAGGTATGTAGATATTAATAGTTATACTGATATTAAAGAAGATGTAAAGATCAAACATTACAAAGTTATTCACTAAAGTGAGAATCTAAAGTGAAATTTCAAACTTAAAGCCAAAGTAGAAGAACTGGAAATATTCTCTACATCAGCCATGTTTCCAATTCGGCTACTTTGGCCTTAATTTTGAAATCCACTTTGAAGTCTCACTTTAGTCAGAGAAATATTTATGGAGGCTAAAAGGATTATGGGACAAAGTGCTAAATATGAAGCAATCACCATAGAAACCAATAGAATGTCTCAATACTTCTGCAGGACAGCAATATAAGGAATAGTAAGAATTACTAGTACTACTATCATCACAAATAAGGTTAGGTTAAGGGTTATCAGTTGCAGTATCAGCTCTCCATTACAAGCATGGTCCACATAGATCCTGAGGTTGAGAACAGGATTTTGTTTGGTCAGTGAAGGCACAGGGGCTTTAAAGGGAAACTCCAGTGCCAGGAAAACAATCAGTTTTCCTGGCACTGCAGGTCCCCTCTCCCTCCCACCCCCCAATCCCCAGTTGCTGAAGAGGTAAAAACCCCTTCAGTAACTTACCAGACGCAGCGACGATGTCCCACGTCGCTACTTCTTCCTCCATCGCCGCTCCTCCCTGTGATTGCGTCGGCCGGTGGGCGAGACTGATCCCGCCCACCGGCCGAGGAGACCTAATGCGCATGCGTGGCAATGCCGCGCATGCGCATTAGCGCTCCCCATAGGAAAGCATTGAAAATGCTTTTCAATGCTTTCCTATGGGGAAATGAGCGACGCTGGAGGTCCTCGAGGAGGAGTTAACCCTGCAATGTAATTATTGCAGTTTATAAAAAAAACTGCAATAATTACAGTTGCAGGGTTAAGAGTAGTTGGAGTTGGCACCCAGACCACTCCAATGGACAGAAGTGGTCTGGGTGCCTGGAGTGTGCCTTTAATAAAATAACAGAAAAATCCAAGGCAAGGTATGTGAAGAAGGGTCAGGCAAAAATCAGAGTCAGACGGTCCAGAGGTCAGGGCAGGCAGCAATCAGCAAAATCCAGAGTGCAGGCAAAGTCAGGAAACCAGCAAGGACAGGAAAGACAGGGAAACAAACACTAGGAGTTCTGAGACAGGCAACAAAACAACCAAGCACTGACTGAAAGGTGTGCTCTGCTTATAAAGGAGTGGCTCAATCACATAACCTGGTCTCACCTGTAAGAGGGGTTACCGGAGGTCAATGTGACTGACTGTGGTACTCAGCCCCATCTTCGATGCATCATTGTCCTGGCTCCGCCCTCAGCCACATCTCCTTTAACCTCTGACCTGCCTCCTTATGCAGCGGCTGCCATCTTAGAATGCTGGGGCAATCACTCTGCGTTTCCTGGCTGTGAATCGAGGTACAGAGTATGCAGACTGGGGTGCAGCAGCCACAGGCACTATAACCGATGCAGACTGACTTCCAAGGCTGTGTGGACGCCCTGGGACAGGTGAGTACCGTCGGTGAATGGGACAATAGGTCATAGTAGTAGATAATGTTCTTTAGCTATTTTACAGTTTTATTCCTGATGCCCTCTGTTCTTTCAACTCCGGGACAACCAGGAAAACACTATATAAAGGGAGACTCCGCACGAGAGTTACAGCAACCAAAGACAACCATTTCGGCCTTCTTAGGCCTTGCCAGTGAGGTATAGCGGATATCTCTCTATGCACGGTGAGCAAGGTGTACATGTTTGAATTACCCTTTAAATTTAACCAGAGCAAAAAAAAAAAAAAAGCAGGGTTCAAGAGAATACTGAGAAAGAACAACAGCTCAAGTAGCTTGCCCTTCGGCGGGTCCCCGCTCAGAACTCAAGCAAGTAGTGGACCACTTGCTCACAGTGCTTAGAGGGATATTGGCTATACCTCACTGACGAGGCCTAATAAGGCCACAATGATCACCTGGAGTTGCTGTATCTCGTGCAGGTATGTATTTTGGATCAGAACCGCTCTTTTGAGTGGGATCAGTTTGATATGCAAATAGCCATGGTTCTTTTTGAAATGGTACAAGAGGAGTTAAAATCAGCTTGAGATCTGAGCGGTTGTCTGTCCTCAGGACTCTCTTGCACCTAGGTTGTGGGTTGTTTTTTTTTTTTTTGCTCTCCACAAATTTAAAGGGTAATCCAGATGTGGACCCCTTGCTCGTGGTGCCTAGAGGGATATTGGTTATACCTCACAGATGATTCCTGCAATTATCCAGAGTTGTATCTCTCATGCAGAGAGAACTGGCCTGCATTTTTGGATCTGGACAGCAATTCTGGGTGGGATCAGTCTGATATGCAAATGGCTCTGGTTCTTTTGTAATGGCACAAGATGAGTTAAAACCAGCCTGAGATCTGAGCTGGGAGTTACCGAAGGGCAGGCTATTTGAGCTGTTGTCAGTTCTCAGTACTTTCATGCACCTTGTTTGTTTGTTTTTGCTGTGCCCACATTTTACAAAAAGTACCGATTTCACATTTATAAATCCACCCTATTATACACCCTTAACTGTCAGACATCCAACCAGGTTATTTCCTGCTTTATTAAGTGAAGCTAAACTTAAGAGGCAGGCAAATTACGCAGAATACCAGCCTTCACAAAGACTTCTCATTGAGCTGCATTGGAAAGTCTGTAATTGGACAAAAAATACCAAATTATGATCCAGGTCCACCTGGGGAGCACAGGCAAAAGGCTCTACAAACAGCCAACAGCAGGAAGATGAGTCCAGCACAATACAAATCTTGGCAATCCTTTATGGATTCAGATAAGTGACGTTTCGGCCACACATGACTTTAACATGTATGTGAACCTGCTTCAAAACACAGCAGGAGGAATTCTGATGGATTATTTCATGATGCATTACACCCCAGCCTAGGATTACTCTAAATGTAAGGAGTCAGTTTTTCAAATAGTTTGACTTTTTTTTTTTTTTTTAATTCTTTATTTTAAAAGGTAGACTGTCAGTGATATTTACAACACAGGTGGCATACAGCATACATACAAATCAGACAAGAGACATTGCTTAGTTATTGTCTAGTATTAGTTAGGTATTCAGTGCACAGCATATGGTACTGTATTGCCATTTTTGCCACCGCAAAACAAAAATGGTTTGCACTGCTCCCAGTCTTCTCATCTATTTGCTCTCTGCCAGAGGTAACCTAACTGAAGTTCTTGCTGATAAACTATTTCTCCAGCTACAATCAAGGAGGCTGGGAGTACACCCAGCGGACCCCTGGTTTGACTCCTTACATAGATGCTCCAGTGTAATCCTGGCACCATAACTAATACAGACAGATGTATTGTTCCATTAGCCGAGGGAGAGATGGTGTTTTTTGGTTTGTTTACACAACCCTGCCCCTCTTAAAGCAGCACTGCCATCGTTTGGCAACTTTGCTGAATTTGCAAAGTCCCCCATTGGAGACATCACCGCTTTAGGTACAGTGGTCAAGGGTGAAATTACTTACCTGAACCTCTACCTCACGGGCGTTGCCATCTTGTTCACACTGTTCCTCTTCAAGTCCCAGAGCTGAAGAGCCACCAGCAGACTTCACTGCTGTACACTCATGCATGCAAAAGCATTCAGACCCTCATGCATGCAAAAGCATTCAGACCTAGCGATGATCCCGCAGGATCCTCCATACAGAGCCAATTCCCTGCAGCTGTCACTGATGTTTTGTGAGTAGATGCAAACATAGGAATGCAATCAATGTGACTGGGTGAACCTAACACATGCCCACTAACTTTTCATTTTACCATTAATTAATTCAGCAAACTTTAATAATGCAAAAAAAAAAAAAAATACACAGAAATTAAAGTGGCTTTAAATGAGCAAAGATTTTTTTTAAATGCACTTTAAGCTAGTGCAGTTTATATATAAAAAAAAATAAATAAATAAAATAAAAAAAACAGAACACAGACCATTTTCTACATTCTAGTGATTTTCAGGTGACAGGTCTGTTTTAATAGAAGTGACAAGATTGATTGTTTAAAGGCCGGTCAAGGCCTCTGTGTTTCAGGTTGCTTTTTTATGGATCGATTAATCAAAAAGATTTAAATCTGCCATACTGTAGATCATAGCTTATGAAAACTGTATATAGATTGTTTGGGCTGAACCAATCTTTCTTTTTGTGTACACTGCACAATGTTTGCTAAACTTTGCAACTTCCCATGGCACCGTGCAGCATAATGTTCTAGTAGTGCTCTTCAAGTCCCAGAGCTTAAGAGCCACCAAGTGTACAGGATCCAATAGACACACAAGGTGTTTAATCAAATATAAATTGCTGTTTACCCCCTAGTCTTATGTGCCTAATTTATTAGAGCACTGTGTAGTTTAAAGAGCTAGTGTGTAATTAACCAGCTAGCTTTGTGCTTGAAGGTGGCTTGAAATTTGCTTTGATATATTGATACCATATCCAGACCACATTATCTAAATGTTAAAGAAAAAAGTGGAAAAAAATACATCAGCTTGTCTCTATAGGAATTCAAATATAAAAAAGACTTCTTAAATTCTTGATAAATGCAATGTCTACAACTAATATACAGTATCTTTATTCAGAGGACAGAAAGCAAATACTTTAAAAACGCCTGTAACCACAAAAAAAAAAAAAAAAAAGCCGCACAACACCAGCCAATCCTATTTTCCCATACACCTACTATGCTCTATAAAATAAAAATAAAAAATCTACTGTCTTGTATGCTACCATATAGGAAAAATATAAATATATACTATCCACCATACTACCATCCATGATAGCACTCCAGGTGCAGAAAAACCATTGCCGTCATTTCAATAAATCAGACAACAGGAACTGCTCATTGACTATTATATCTGGCCAATTTAGTGCAAAAGTTTCCTTACATTGCATCTATGTGATATGGAAGTGCAAACTGATCTGGTGATAAAGCACAAATGAAAAATTATTCCATATAAAGAAAAATGGCAATAAAATAAAAACAAAAAATTAAACCCTGAGCACATCTACAAAAGACAGGATGCATTTTTCACATATACCAGTTATCCTACAGGTATATGATCGATGCAAAATGTTAAAATATCCCAAGCATGTTTTTAGGCAGGTAAATAAAGTCAATTGAAACACTGGCTCTTCAATAAAAGTAAATTAGACTTTTTGGGGGAGCACAGAATTTAAAATAATGGTTAGAAGAAGTCAGCACACAGAACAGACACTGAAATAACATTTATTTGTGTTTTGGAAAGTGCTTACCTAAAAGGACAAGAAAACCAATACACGAGCAACAGTTAAAAAAAAAATTTACATACAGGAATTAGAGGGAAAAGTGATGGGGCAATAGAGCCCAGCAGGACCAGAGCAATTATTAAAAAAAAAAAAAAGTCAGATTGGCAATCCCATAACTGCATTTTAAAGCAAAGTCAAATATCACAAGTCCTTCAGGTGAAATAATGAAGGGCAAAAAATGCAGAGGAGGTCGACACGCTTCTGTATAAAACAACTGAGCATAATTTTATCTGTCAGACGTCTATCAACTGACGGATATTGAAAGCTTGGGAGGATGTGATAAAATCTCCCCCAGGCCTACAGTCAGCCATGGTTATCTTCGCTTAACATCAATAACGCTATTCATGAGCCAAGGGAAAATTAATAAATTCTCCTTGCTGGGGGAGGAGAAGCAGGTGAAGCTGCCTCACTTGGGCTTTGTCTCGGCGTCTGTCACTTGTCGTATGTAGATAGCATCTTCGGGGTGCTCAATGTCATCCATTTCGTACATGTACGACGCAGCAATTGCCAAGATACTGCCATCGTTACTGAAGGCCAGGGATGCAATACTTGTGGGGTAGCGGTGGAACTGGCAGAGACGTTTTTTGTTGAAGGGATCCCAGATATTGACAAAACCATCTGAGCCACCTGTATAAAAAGATTAACAATGGTTACATAGTTATACTAAGGTTTCATGCAACCAGCAGAATTACGTTAAAATTATGTACAATGTAATTTGTATTTGTGATTGTAGTCTTTACAACTATGCTGGAAAACTACATTTGCAAGAAACTTGGCAAGCACAAAGTAGAGCAAGCATATCAAACTTGGGGCTCATGGGCTGCATGCAGCCCACAATGACTTTCTTTGCAGCCCGCCTGTCCTGGGGTAGCATTGTGCTGTGGCTGCAACCAGCGGCAAGATTGGAAAGATCCAGTCTGCCCTGTCACGGTTGATCGCATGCTCTGGCGGCCACAAGAACACTAAGCATTAGTCCATGCCGGCTGCCAGATATGCACATACAGTGTGAAGTCATATCCAGCAGCTGCACTGCAGTGCACAGAGTGGCTCTCTGTCTGCAGAGCATGCCAGCCACTCCCCCCTTCCCTCCTGCTTGCAGTCCCAGAGGAGCGTCTGGCCTGCTAGAGCAGAGAAGAGCATGGCTGGAACTGGAGGACAGGTGGCTCATCTTAAGATGGGGGAAATGGGGCTTGAGGAACCTACCTGTGTAGTGTGTTAAATTGGGGGGGCGGGGGGAGAAAGTGCATTAAATTGGAGGAGGGAGGGCAGTGTATTCAATTAGCATGGAGGGAAGGGGGCAGCATGTCAGAGAGGGGGTGGAGCCATGGGAGGCTGTGTATTAGATTGGGGGAGGCAGTGTATTCGTTTGGGGGGTGGAGGGGAGAGACATGGCAGTGTATAAAAGAGTGGAGGAAAGGTGGGCAGTGTATTAGATTTGTGGGCAGTGAACTGGATGAGTGAGAAGTGGACAGTGTATTGGATTGGGTCTGCATGAAGGCACTGATTGGCTATGCAGCATTTTGCCACACATGCACAATAGCCTCCCAATGCTTTCCTATGAGAAAGCATTGGATTGGCAGAGATCATCAAGTTTGATGATCTCAGCCAAAGTGAAGAACACACTCATAACTTCAAAATCAGCAAGATAACGTCTTTTTTTTTTTTTAACAAATATGTATGCTGTATAACAGCATAGATTCACCATTTCAGTCTCATTACCTAACTTTTCTTAGTATGTCAAGGTATTTGGACTGAAACATTGGTTATATGCAAATGCACATCATCTTCAAATACAATTTTCTCTTTTGTTTACTTTGAAGCCCTACGAGTGAGAGAACGTCCAGTATCGCTTAGGCAACTTTTTTATACTGTATGAAATGGAAGTTATTTTTGTAACCCACATAAACCTTGTTTATTTGTCCCGTGTTAGCCTTTGAGTTTGAAATGCTTGATGTACAGGTACAATTGTAATCATCAGTGTAGTTAAAGATGAGCCAATAACAGAGTTCAGGGCGCCACTATCATAATGCATATTTAATCTACCAGCTTGTCTCAACTTAATATAAGACAATTATAGCCAGAGAGTAGATTGTTTTCAGTTTTACTATTATAAAAGGACAAAAATACAAGAAAAATTAGCCTTAATGGCTTAAACAGGCAAGCAGCTGATATCGTAATAAAAAATGCACAATACAATCAAAAAGTCACCAAAGTTAGTAAATGCTCTCCCTGATCCCAGGGGTATAATAAATGGCACAAATATCTGTGACACAGGGACCCCAATCATAAAGACACAAAGTGCCAGTCAGGGAAAATGCCAATGTAAAAAGTGCATAAACCGTGCATATATACAAAAGTCAAACTGCTGAAACCAAAACTTGCAGGGTCCAAAGGTGCAGCTGGGCTCTACGCGTTTCATCGGGGACACTGACTTCCTCAGGAGATTTTTACTGTTGTCGTCTTCCTCTTTTTAAAACGCCGACCTTCGCGCCTTCTGTGATGACAGCGCATGTGCGGACCACTCGGGACGCAACGTCATAGGTCATGACGCACGCCCGTTCTAACTTTATGTTTCTTGTGCGCATAGTGTCAATAGTTTCACCGATCATGGCACTGCACCAATTGTTACTGTGAACTCACAGGATATACTAAAATCATAACATATTTCAAATAACAGTGCATGGATAAGTTCCAAATTAGGGGAAGGAGACATAAGGGAGAAAAGTCAGTGAATATCTCCATAAAGAGAAAAGTCAGTGAATATATGTAAACTTAAAAAAATCTTGCCATGATCGCCGACACTATGTTGCTTGTGCGCATAGTGTCAATAAAGTTAGTTTGCGGCTCACGATGGTTTACGCGCATGCGTCGTGACCTAAGACATTATGTCCCGAGTGCAGAAGTCGTGAAGATTGGCGTTTAAAAAAAAAAAAGAAGCTCCTGAGGAAGTCTGTGTCCCCGACGAAACGCGTAAAGCCCAGCTGCACCTTTGGACCCTGCAAGTTTTGGATTCAGCAGTTTGACATATATTTGCACTGTTTATGCACTTTTTACATTGGCATTTTCCCTGACTGGCACTTTGTGTCTTTATGATTGGGGTCCCTGTGTCACAGGTATTTGTGCCATTTATTATACCCCTGGGATCAGGGAGAGCATTTACTAACTTTAGTGACTGTCACTTTGATTGTTTTCATTTTCCTTTTTTTATTAAGATATCAGCTGCTTACCATAGGGGTTTGTTTTTAAGCTATTAAGGCTAATTTTTCTTGTATTTTTGTCCTTTATAACAAATTGTTTTCAGTTTTACTATCTACTCTCTGGCTATAATTGTCTTATATTAAGTTGAGACAAGCTGGTAGATTAAATATGCATTATGATAGTGGCGCCCTGAACTCTGTTATTGGCTCATCTTTAACTACACTGATCGTTTCTAAGTTGTGGAATTGAGGAGTGTCTTCCTGATCAGTGGCTTGCCTGCATATGGTTATTTTTTACTTTCCCTATCCACCTACCTGTTTACAATTGTAATTATGCAGTAAAACTTCACAGAATAGTTGGGGGACTCCGTTACTAACTTCACTATTATCTTTTTAAACTAAACTTGCATGTGTAGTTGAAAAACAACCATGTGTTCTTTCATCCTTATCAAGATATTTCTTGCCATCAGAGGTTTGTTGTTTTTTTTTTTTTATAAAGTTCCCTAAATGGTCCCCTGGGTCAGGTGAGGGTTGATTTTTAAATACCGATTTCTACACTCTGCTTTAAGCTGCCTGTTACATAATATAGGTTGAGAACAAAAAGGTTCAACAAATTTAAGTTTTGTTTAACCTTTGCAGTGCTGAGGACTCCTTTCACAATGACTGCTTTGTGGGAGGGAAGATGGGGAAAGAAGAGAATATGGAAAGAAAAGTCTTAACCATTAAACACACGCAGGCCACTTCATCTTAATGTTTACAATGCAGGGTT